CAGGAAAATCCAATTCCAGGGGCTGAGGGTTGGCTGGGAGGCTGTGCCAAAGGCATTCCCACAGCACACAATGCTCCTGGTCCTGACAGGAATTCCTGGCAGCTGATGCCTCCGCGGGAGGAAGTGATTGTGCTTCAAATACTTCCTCTAGCACTGATAACCTGCTCCTGCCACTGGGCCACAGCTGGGAGATAAGGAGAGGATCTTCCAGCCAGGAGCCAACCCTGCCCCAACAGGGGGTTATTTTTAGAAAGCAGCAAACACAGAGAGACAGAGACTGTGCTGTTTGAAGGGACAAATCTGTGTCAAATGCAAGATGTTGGAGTGAAATAAATGTGCATTACAGCACTTCCTTCAGCAATGGGCTTTTCAGGGAGCAAAGGATAATATCTGGGAAGCACAGAGCTGATCAGCTCTCTGTATTCCATCACCAAAACCTCCCCAGCTAAACAGAAGTTCCTAATTCTTTCAAGTGAAGAACAGAGTCTTTATTTCTGGCAGGAAGTAAAGATACTTATGGAATACCTGAGCACTGTTTATATTATTGGCACAGAGCACTAATAAAGTAAAACCACGTTTCAGGGAATCATGGAATGTCTTGAGTTGGAAGGGACCCACAAGGAGCATTGAGTCCAACTCCTGGCCCTGCACAGGACAGCCCAAAATCCCACCCTGTGCCTGAGTGTTGTCCAAACACTCCTTGAGCCCTGGCAGGGTTGGTGCTGTGACCACCAATTTGCACCATGTTAAGGAGGGCAAATCATTCTTTGTCCAAGTTAATAATGACATGGGGGGTTGCTGAAATAATTCAATTCCTGTGCATTAACAGGCCCTAAAGCTCACGAAGGGCACTCAGACACTGTGACACAGCTGTCCTGAGACACTCAGTGACATGGGAAGGGGTTCACCTGAACAGCTCCCCAGCCCTGGGACACACCACCCCAGCCCCTGGGCTGAGCCCCCTCCTGCACTGCCCCTCAGCCCCAGCAGGCTCGGGAGGAGCTGCCCTGGCTGGTGCAGGACCTGTGTGGGTCAGCAGCTCCCCGGGGAACAGCTCACACCCCTCAGGAAGCTCTTCAACCAGCAGACACTGAAACCCTGCTTACATTTCATAAGCTGCCTTAGGTACAGCCTGGGAACTCATCTGGAGTTCCACTGGGATGATTCAGGCACTTCTGAACTTCAGTGCATGGGGAGCCCTCCTGGAAGAGACTGAGGACTCCCAACAGAATCAGGGCAGGCTCAGGTTGGATCTCAGGCAAAGGTTCTTCCCCCAGAGACTGGTTGGGCACTGTCCAGGCTCCCCAGGGCAGTGGGCACGGCCCCAAGGCTGCCAGAGCTCCAGGAGGGTTTGGATGATCCTCTGGGGCACAGGGGGTGAGCCTGGGGATGGGCCTGTGCAGGGCTGAGGGTTGGACTGGATGATCCTTGTGGGTCCCTTCCAGCTCAGCATGTTCTGGGATTTGGTGACCTCCACCCTTCAGTGTCACCTGCACACTCAGGTGCCCTGAACACCAATGTGAGTGCAACCAGGATTAGTTTGTACTTTAATAAACTGATTTTGGATGTTCTGGAGAGGCATCACAGACAGGCACTGGCCAAGACTCACGGAAAGGCAGCAGAGATAAAGAGAGAAGGAGTCCAGCAGAACCAACCCAACCCAAGTTGGTAACACACAGTCTGGGTAACCACTGAGACTTTTTTTTAGCATACAGTTGTTGAATTATATTAATGTCTCTTTAAATTATAAGGGAAATTTAACTCTGTCTCAGTCTAGAGTTGCTTCTTAATGCAAACAAAATGCTATGGGGCCCTATCTCACATTTTTTAAACTTGGTGAATTTGAAGCTGCCTCAATAGGTCCCACACCTGATCAGTTATTTTCAGTTATTTTTTCACAAATCTGAGAGAAGACCAAGAGATAAGAAACAAAGTTTGCACTACCTACATGCAAAGTGCTGATGGTGACCAGTGTGTACTTTTATCATTTTCCAGGTCTAATCACAGAGAGTCTTCTGCACAAATGCAGTTTAACCACTAGGAAATGACCTTCTGTTTGTACAGAGATTTTCATGTGGACTTACCAGAGATGTATTCAATGAGTGACAAGCAGATCCAAAGAGTTGAAGAGGAGATGCTTTGTGTTTTAGCTAAATTGAGGAGAACCATGGTCTCACGGCATCCCCTTGGGCCACACAGAACACGGCAAGGCTGAGCCTCAGCTCTAAACATTTATCCCACATCAGACTAAAATATATCTGTTGGACACAACCTGGGTTTACATTACAAATTAAAAATCAATCACGCAGCCTTACAAAATAATTGCAGTAATAAACACAAGGTATTTCAGCAACACACCAGTGAGGTTTGGGCACTGATGCAACCTGTGGAGCCCAACCTGTAACTCCAGCTCTGACATCAGCTGGTGAACCAGCAACTTCCTGCCCGTGCAACACGTGCCTTGCTGACAACCACGGAGAAGGGGAAAACCTTGCTGCTAAAGCAGCCTGGCAGAACATTCCTGAAGAGCAAAAGCACCCCAAAATGCACTTTGTTCCATTAGTACAGTGTTGGGATAAGAAGAGAACAAATCCTTTCTTCTACATCTCAGCAAGTTATTTTAAAACATCCCATGAGGTGAAATGCCAGGATATTAATACCTCTTGCACCATATTATAAGTGACATAAACGTTACAAAACAACCTGAAATTTGGCCAGGCTGTTAATAGACAGCATTACACAATTCCTGACACAGCCACTTAATACTGTACTTCTCCCATGCAAATTTTTAACAGTGAATAGATTTTGAAAGGAGTTTCCACCCACCAGCCCTCAGATGCAGCTCAGTAATTTGCTATTAGGTGCCAAGCTGTCACTTCCCATCACTCCAGCCCACTGCCATTCTCTGCTCCACCTTGGGAGCACAAAGGAGCCTCCAACCTGATTAAAATGTATGAGCCCTGTGTGAAGCTATTTTTAAATCTGTAAACTAATACTGCTGTTGTATGAACAACTTTCATTTCTTTCACCATTAATACTGGTCTTCCAAGGAAAATCTGCAACGCCTTACTCTTCTGGACTTCAGGAGCAAAGCTCTTGTTCTTGAGAGATTTTTAACCATTTAAAAAAGTCATTGCAGTGAGGGGGTCTACCAGGAATCTTGCTCAGGAAAAGGAAGGAGTGAGAGGCACAGAGGGCCTGAGTCACCTATTTAAGCAGAAATTTTGCTTTAGGAGCACAAATAGTTAAACATGTATGGTTTTGCAGAGGATGATGTGGTGGGAACAGAGAATTGACCTCTCAACACACAGTCTCAGTTTTATGACAGTGCTTCCCATGCTGCCATCAGCCACTGTCCTCCTGGAATCACAGCACAGACACAGCGAGGAGACAGCTCAGGGGCTGAGATAACCAATAATCCAGCTCAATAATCAATGCCATTTTTCCTTCCTGGGCTATATCCTTCCCCAATTGCTGTTTTTCAGGCAGATCTCCTCTGCTTACAGCTGCTGGTCTGGCTGTGCCAGAGGATCACTGAGCAGGAGGATCAGCAGGGAAGCTGCAGGAGCAGCAATGACACCACAAAAACCAGGGTCAGACTCCTCCTGTTTGGGGGAACTTGCCACAAGAACATCCTGCAGGAAAGTAGGGAAAGGAAGTATTATCTGATTTTGCTTCTCCCTCTCACAAGCATAAAAATCTCAGCATATCAACCCAACAGGTATTCCCTGCCATGCTGAAAACATCCCAGGAAATGCTTAAACCCACAAAAGAATTAAATTGTTTGTCAAAAATGCCAGTGCCATGCACAGGTTGTGCTCCCTCTCCAGCTCACACACTGTGCTGAACATCCCTGAGTGATGGAAAGGAGAACTCAGAGGAGCACAGGGTGCAAAACACCCCTGGGGTGTTCATTCCTGCTCCCCGAAATGACTGAACAATTAGTGGTGTCAAATCAGCAAATTACCAGGAGACAAAAATCAGGGACATAGGTAGATCACACTGTTCCTACACACAGAAAATGAAAATAAACAGAGTTTGCAGAGACTGCTCCTGTTTGCCCAGCAGCCCCTGTCCCAAGACCCATCAGAGCTGTGTCCTCTGTGTCCAGCGTTTGGTGGGACTGCTCTGCCCAGTGTCTGCAGGGCCCACCCAGACCTGGCCTGCTCAGGGCCACGAGGTGTGAGGAGCAGCACATCCCAGCCCTGAGCAGGACCAAGCTCCTCCTCAGTGGGAATTTTACAGAGTTAAAAAAACCAGCTGCAAATTCTGCCTGCAAAGCTGTCAAGTACTACAGCAGGAAAAGCTGTAAATAATTCACTCTGGATTACAGGAAATGTTTTACAAATGAAAAGGTTGTAACCTCTCTTTGCCTACAAGGCTGGCAGATGCTGGAGGCATTTCTGCTTCTCTAAGTGCAGAACAAAATGTGCCCTGTCTGTGAGAACCAGCAGTGGCTGCTGGGTCTGAGCCCTCCCTGGTGCTGCTCCTGGAAAATGCTCCTGCCTGTGTTCCTGAGGGGTGGATCACGCAGGAGCAGAGCTGCACACTTCCAGAATTGCACCACTGCCTTGGATTTTGATGACACAGCTGCTGCAATGCACAATGCAGAGCTCTGGGAGCAGAGAAATGTGATTTATCTGTATTTACATCAATCCATTCACACAACAGTTTAATGACACACACACACAAACTGAAAATCCACATGCAGTGATTGCAGATGACTCAATAAGGAATGTCTAATGCAGCCTTAAAACAGTGACATCAGTCAAATCCAGTGGGAATAAAACCATCTCCAAGCTCAAAGGAGAGCTCCACGTGGCCGAGAGCAGATTCTGGCCCAGCACATGGAAGCAATTCCAAAGAAAGACTCTACTGCTTTTACTTCTTACTAAACATTTGGCACCAAACTCAGGGCAGGCACCTCTATTCCTCCACACCAGGTCAGTTGGCAGCCAAGCACAAGGATGTTTTGGGTATAAAGGAAATGTGGGACTCACCTGTATGTTGCCAAAATCCACGTTTTCGTAGTGGAAATGTGCACACTCAGCCATCTTCGGGAAGTGCCCCTTGGTGAAGGATAACCTGGAGCACACCAAGAGCACACCATGAGAGGAATGCAGAGCACTGCCACAAAACACAGTCACTGGGATAAACACAACAGCTTCCTCATCCCAAAGCCAAGGGAACAGAGGGATGGGTTGATGTGATGCACCAGAACAGTGGGGAAAGGAACCGAGGGAGAGAGGAGAAGTGCAGTGCCAAGTGGCTTTTCCATTGCATCCCTGGGGAACTGTGTGACATTCCAGCACCACCAGAGCCCACTGCATCCCTACAGAACCCTGTGGCATTCCAGCAACACCAGCAGCCTGGGGACACGGAGCAGGGACAAGCAGCTGCAGCTCCACAAATGCACATCCACAGCCTTACACGAGACACAAGGAAAGCAGAATTACCTGTGAAAGGCATCACAGCCCATCAGTCCCGGGGGGATGTATCTGAGGGTGCAGAACAAACTCTATTTATCCTTTGCCTCTTTCAAATCCAAAGGTCAGGCATCGTTATTCCCGAGTGTCTCCAGCTACCCTGGAGGCTGCCAGGGAGCTCCTGTGGCTCTGCACATTCTCCTGCTTCTGCTGAAGCTATTCTAGACTCCAATAGATATTTCGGGGGGGAGCCAATGAGATTGTCATTATCTTGCTCTCTCTTCCCACGGGAATACAAGTGGGAAGGGAGATGAGCATCTGGCTGCTCAGCACCAGAACAAAGAGCCACTTCCCTCACAGCAGAGCACTGGGAGAGGGGAGCCGAAGGCACAGATGGATCAATATTGGGGAGTTCTGGGCCTCGAGTCAGCACTTTTAGCAAAGTAATATTGATTATTTTTGATCCCCGTTGCAGGTTTAAAACCTTAGCTGAAGAATAACCTGGGTTACAGTCTCTGGGAGACAATCAGAGAGAGAAATATTGTATAAATCCATAGGGAAAAAACGTGGGGGATCAGAGAAGAAAAAATATCCCTTAAAAGGAAAAACTGGGTAATATCCATTCTAATGAAGATACAAAGAATGCAAAAAGAAGGGAAAAGAGGAAAAATATCAAACGAAAAATATATCTAGGCCACCCGCTTGTCCTGGTTTAGCTTTCTAGAGCATAGGGAGACAGGGAAAATGATCTCATTTACACATTGCCTGGGCTTCTCTTCAAATTTCTTCTCTCTGTTTTTTTTTCCAGTTTCAGGAGTAAACCACAGAAAAATTAACAACACTGTAACAGTGAGGTTCACAACTCTACCAAGCTTTGCTTCTATGGTCAGAAACAGGTGAGAGAAGAGCAGAGCCTCTCCCATCACCACTTTTGGATTACATCAGTCGGAATTTCGTTTCACACGGATTTTGGTTCCCCTGATGAAGATACTGTGAAAAATCGCTGCTGAATTCCCTGTATTGCAGCACAACAGCTGAACCCCAGGATAGTGAACCCGGAAGGGCAGGAAAATCAGAGAAATGTGCTCTTACTTTTTGACGTTCTTCACCTTCATGCTGGCGGTGCTGCCGCAGGAGCGCAGTGGCAGCTCCCCCGGGATCTCGGGGATGTCAGCTCCTCTGGCCTGCAGGAAGCAGGGAAAAAGGGGGTTAAAGTGTGGCTGCAAGCTCTGGACATCTCCCTGCTGAGCAGGAGCCTGTCTGCTCTGAAGGACAAACCCCACATGTGCTAAAAGTTGTGCTTCTGCCTTTTTAACACGGAAAACTGACCCTCGGGATTGGGATCTCGGATGGGATGATCCTGACTGTGAAGATCTCTCTCCCATGCTGCAGAGACTTGCTAATTCTTAGCAATAACTGTGAAATCCACTGTTTAATTCATTACTGCTTCTGGTTCTTAAAGGGCAGATTTTCAGAGGTGGGAGTCAAACAGACATTCCCAAACTCCACACTCTGGCTCCTCATTAAGGACCTGGTTTTCCAGGCATCTGTGCAGAGGCACTGAAGCAGCTGGATAGCTCACACAGTGGAAAACCAAGATGCCAGAGCTGCTTTCGTGTGGGAGGTGACCTTTTAAAATAGAGGTTTGAAGCTATTGGTTTAAGTGCATGATGATATTATAACTCCTTAATCACTGGAATTGAATTACTTCAGTGAGGTCAGAACTCCAAACTCCCTCCTTTCTGTTCTGTCACACTTTCCCATCCTCTCCTTCCTCCAGCTGCTCTTTCCTGAGCCATGAGCTCAGCTGGGCTTGGATTCTCCATCCCAGGGACTCTGAAACACTGCAGGGGCTCCTCCTGCTGTGCCAACCCTGAACTCCAGAGGAATGAGGGGGTTCAAGAGAGGCTTTGATGGAGAGAGCAGTGACCAAACAGCAAGACCAGCACAGACTTCGCAGAGCAGGAGGAGAAAAACATGGTCCCTGACGCTGGGGGAGATGGATCATCAGTGATGTGGGTGAGACCAGTTGAATGAGCTTTTTTCTGCTTTACACAATGCACTACAAACCAGGAATCACATCCCAAAGAGCGAGTGCTCATGAAGAGGAAGAAAGACACATCAGTATTCCTCCTCTTACAGGCCTGGAACAAAAAGGTATTCCATCCATCCATTCTACTGGCAGGAGTAAAGGGATGACTGCTGTGATGGCAGATCCACACTGCTCCACCCAAAGGTCTCTGAGCAGTGATGATCAGCCCCAAGGCTGTCACATGTAACAATAAAGCTGGATGCTGCAGTGGGAAATGTGGAACAATTGGTCCTCACCCCCAAAACTTTCCAGCTGGCCCATCCCAATCCCAGCTGGCAGCCCTCTCGTGGGATGAACAGCAGCGGAAGCTCCGATTTTCCCTTGCCATGGGTCCAATGTCCCTGTGCTTCCCCTCCTCACCAAGAGCTGCAGTGGGTCAGTCAGAACCATCCCCTGCCTGTAAATCCCACCCAACAGCAGCAGAGGGAGAGTGACCCCCGAGCTCCAGGCAGGCTCAGGGCACAGCTACAGCCCCTCATCTCCTGAGGGTCCTGTCACAGTCCCCAGGCACACACGAGGGCTTTGGGTCCATTCACCTGCTCTACACAACTGGAGTAGAATCATGGAATCCCAGGATGGTTTGGGTTGGAAGGGACCTTAAACCCATCCAGTGCCACCCCTGCCATGGGCAGGGACACCTCCTATAGCTCAGGTTGCTCCAAGCCCCGTCCAACCTGGCCTTGGACACTTCCAGGGATGGGGTAGCCACAGCTTCTCTGGGCAACCTGTGCCAGGGCCTCCCCACCCTCCTAGCCAAGAATTCCTTCCCAATATCCCATCTAACCCATTCCCCCTTGCCCTGGCACTCCAGACCCCTGTCAATGGTCTCTCTCCACCTTTCCTGTTGCTCCTTCAGGCACTGGGAGGCCACAATGAGGTCACTCCAGGGCCTTCTCTTCTCCAGGCTGAACAGTCCCAATTTTCTCAGCCTTTCCTCACAGCAAAGCTGCTCCATCCTTTCAAATCATCCTGGTAGCCTCCTTTGCACAAAATCAACCAGGCTGCAGGAGCAACCATTTCTCCCTTGACACGGGGACTCCAGGACGACCCTCACCAAACAAAAACAGGGACAGTATTTATTCCCTTAAATAAACCTGTCCTGGGCTGCCTGACGCCTACTGAGCACACAATTACTTCAGGATGTAATAGGACACTTGAGAGTCTCATTGTGAATTTTAGCATTAAGAGGATCACCAATTTAATAAACCTTAGAGGTCTTTTACATCAGAAAATAACTAATTACAGGAATAAATGTGCCATTCCCATAAGCTGCTTTAAGGCAAAGCTGGATGTGCTTGCTTAATTTTTCTAAAGGAACAGAATTTCTGTAGGAAGAAAAATAGTTTTTCTCCTCTATCAGCAGTAGGAGCTGGTGGGATATAAAAATAGATAAACAATCTGACAGAAAACGTGGGCTTTGAGCCAGTGTGCAGCAGTGGGCACAGACTACCCTGGATGTGACTCAAACAGCGTGGGCACAGCTCACACCCCCAGAGCCCCAAATGCCAGCAGCTCTCTTGGAAAAACTTGTATTATCCTCTTCTTCCCAGCTGAGCTCTGTCCAAAGCATGCTGGAAGGAGATCTCTGCCTGTCCCCTTTCCAGTAGTCTGTGTCCATTTAACTGGACAATGAGATACAGTAATTAATACATTAATTAACTTTCCCAATTAGACCGGAGCTCTCTGGACTCTGCTGCAGAACAAGGCTCTCCAAGGCTCACAGCTGAGGGGAAAGGGCAGAACTGATCCTGTGCAAGCTGAAATCTTTACAAGGAGGTACCACCAACACCAGAAAAAAACCTGGTGAGGAGACAGATACCAAAATAGAAACTTACTGCAATTTTAGCAACCCCATTACTCCTAAACAACCACAGCTCCTTTCCATTCAAAGATACACAGCTACATAAAATGCATTTTATTTACCCCGAATTTGCACCTATTTTGATCCCAAACTTGGCATGCAACATGTCACCCTAAGTCACTCTCCTCTCCGAACACAAACAAAATCCTCCAAATGAGATTTGTCATCTTTTGTGCTTTGTGCCACAGTAATTGCATTTTAAAAATCATTTTGAAACAGCTGGATTATTTGCATCTGAAAATAAGCTACCTGGTATCATCAGTGGCTTCTCCCTTGCCTGCTCTCCATGCCTGGCTGTGCTGAGGAAACCTGGTAATTGCATAGCAAATCTGTTCATGCAAATTGTTCAGTCCCATTGTCCCAGCTCAGTGTCACTGCTGCACCAACCTGGAACCTGGTAAACAAACCAGGACTGGCTCCAGAATGCAGGGAATTCATTTATCAGCACCCTCAGGCCTCTCCCCTCTCCAGGGAAGGGTTTTGAGTGACACCACTTTACCAGCCCCCCCCCAAACTAAGACATTCTCCCACCAAAAGCCCCCCAAAGACTCTCCTTGCAGGACAATATTGGAGAACTTCAGTGTTTTGCCACAGATCCCTGCAGGGCCTGGGGGGCAGGTGGATCCCACTAAACCCTCTGCTCTAAAGCCATCCTGGGAGAGTAGCTCTCTGTCTGTCCCTGATGGACCCCAGAATCACGGAACTGCTCAGGTTGGGAAACACCTTTAGGATCAAGTCCAACCATCAACCAGCACCACCACCATGGTCACCACTAAACCATGGCCTCGAGTGCCATATCCAGATATTTTTTCAACACTTCCAGGGATGGCGACTCCACCACTGCCCTGGGTAGCCTGTTTCAATGCTTACCCACCCTTTCAGTGAGGAGATGTTCCCAATATCCAAACTAAACCTCCCCTGTTGCAACTTGAGGCCGTTCCCTCTCCTCCTGTCCCTTGTTCCCTGGGAGCAGAGCCTGACCCCCCCCTTCGGTTCCTTCTTCTTTTCGGGGGTTTGCGGGTTCGGAGGTTCCCCCGGGGCTTCTTTTTTTCCGGGTTGGGCCCCCCCCAGCTCCTTCAGCTGCTCCAGCCCCTTCCCCAGCTCCGTTCCCTTCCCTGGGGATGTCCAAGTGTCACTGCCAAACTCCCAGGGAACCCAGAAGTAGAATCAGGAGCTCTCCCAGATCAGCATGTTCAGCTTTAAGCACTTGAAATTTCTGGTCCTTTTATTTATAACCACGATTTGGGAAACTTCAGCTTTGTGCTCTCCAGCACACAAAACCCGAGTCATAAATAATTTATATCCACCAATGCCGCTGCATAATATGAAAGGATTTTCTCCTAAAAAGTCTCCTTGCATTTATCAGAAAACATGTCAACCCGTCTCACTCACATCCAGAGACGTAACACAACCTGAAAATACGTGGAACACCGAAGACAACAGCCCAGTGAACACGAGGGGATGGAATTTCCACCTTGGGATCCTCGACAGGGGAGAATATCGAAGCAATGCAGAATCCACAGCCAAGAGCTTACACTGGGATGCACAAGAAACCTGGAATCCTACATGTAATGCCATGGAATACGTGGAATCCCACCAGTAATCCCATAATTGGCTTTCCACAACACTACAGAAAGAGCCCTGAGGAGGTACCACGGGTAGGACACAAGACTCAGCAGGTCAGGATGGACCCAGGACACTGAATCCAGGTGGGATTTCTGCAGGTGGGAATTTAATCCAAGAGTAGCTATTAGACAGGCACTAACTCTTCCTACTGTCAGTCTCTCACCAACACCAGTTTGGAGGGACCAGATTGCTCTGGGTTCTTTCAGCACATGGCCTTGTTTCTAAAAACAGAGAGCTGCTTCCAAATGCTGCTCCGTTTCCATGACAGTCTTTCCTTTACATCATCTTCATTTCCCCTTCATTTTCTTGGAGGGAAAAAAATAAAAAGAGAGGAAAAAACCAAACCACCCATAACTCCTCAGGAGTTCACCTGGAGCACAACGAAGGAAGAACTTTGGTCCATCTCAGGTTCGTGCTCCACAGTCTCCAAAACACTCCAGGCAGAGAAAGCTCTCTCTGCTCTTTAGATGTTGCTACAACTATCCTGGTCCTTCACAATAAATAAGTCAAGGAAGGAAAGGAAAAATGCTTTACTAAACCAAAAGTCACCATGTCCAGGCTGCTCCAAATAACTCCAGAGGAAAGGTCCCAGTTCTGCAGCATTT